GAAGGGTCCCAGGTTCGATTCCGGCCAAGGGCACATGCCTGGGTTGCGGGCTCAATCCCCAGTAGGGGGTGTGCAGGAGGCAGACGATCAATGATTCTCTCTCATCATTGATGTTTCTATCTCTCTCTCCTTCTCCCTTCCTCTCTGAAATCAATAAATATATTTTAAAAAAGAAGAAAAAAAACCAACCCCAAATTATTAACTGCCTAAAGTGGGAAAGCAGGGAAGAGAGATCCTTTCTATCTCCTAGCTAGCTCACTTTATTCATGTGTGTATCACTTTTTCTGGGGGTTCTCTCCCAAATAGATGGCTGACTCTGGAAGTCAGCCCCAGCTGACTCAGGCGAGTATCCCCAGCCATTTGGGGAGGGGATATTAGTGTCACTGAACAATATATACCCATTGCCACACATTCCATACCCAACCTGCCATGGTCTTGGGCTCCCGCTCAGCTCATAACCTCACATCGCTGTCTCCCTCTCATCACTGTCTCCCTCTCCTCATCTTACTTCCTCAGCCAGGCAAGCTGACCGAGGCCTTCAAGTACTTCCTGCAAGGCATGTGCTACAGTGAGTATGGGGGTCAGAGGCTGTCATGAGGACAAGGGATTGCTGCAAGGATGAGGGATGGCCACTGAGGGGAGGAACCATTTAGGCTAATTCCTGGACTTACCACCATCTGCCAAATCAAGCTCATTGACCCCTGGCCCCGTTTGTAACTCTCACACCCAGCTCTGATTTGCCAGCCCCTCTTCCCCTCCTCTTCTCTGACTGCCTGCTTATCCTTCTGTCTCCACAGTGGCCTCATCCTGCATGACTCGCCTGTCCCGATCTCACACAGCTTCCCTGACCAGTGCAGCATCCATTGATGGCAGCCGGTCCCGCGCTTGAACCTTGTCCCAGAGCAGCGAGTCCGGGACTCTCCCTTCAGGGCCCCCAGGGCACACCATGGAGGTCTCCTGTTGAATGGCCCTTATTGCCCTGGTGTGGGACCCAGCCCTCACCTCCCCCAGCACTAACCTGGGAGATGCATACAACATTAGGCCAGAATGAGCAAGGGAAGATGGGCAGATCATGTGAGGAGATGACTTTTATCTTTGATCACTACCCTAACCTTGTCCTCTAACCTGTGAAACCCCTCAGCTCCTGGGAGAGCTGTCTCAATATATGCTAGAGACCCAGACCCCGAAATGATCCTTCTCCCTCATTCTGTTGTTAAGGTGGAGAGGACATGCATTCCCTCTCCCTAATCTAGGTGTTCATAGATGAAGGATAAGTGGTCATTGTAGATATCCATGGTGCCTGCCCCAGACTCTCCCTACTCATCCCATTGTAAGGGTAAGACACTTGGTCCTGGGTCTCTATTCACCAAAGCAGATATGGCTTCTCATGAACCCTTTAGATCTCTGAAGGATATGGGCCTAAATAAATGTGTCAGGGAGGCTTGTTGGTGGGTTAGTGGTCCTCAGGATGTGATGGAAATATCCGGTGTGTGAATGGAAGTTGGACTGGGAGGTGGTAGTCAATGAACAAGTTTGAGGGAAGGATTGGAGCTGGGCAACAGGAAGGGGCATGAGGCCATTGGCTCCACTAACTTTGTAGCTGTCTAGATAGTGTTTCTAGAGTGGGAGAGGGAGGGGGCCAAGCTGGGGCAGAGCTGCTTGGTGTTTGGCATAGGGGTAGGAAGGACTACCTTGGGGCTCTGACCACTGTGTTATGTGTGGAGGGTGCTCTCCTGTCTCCCACAACTTCTGCTGTAACAATAAACTATAGAGGAATCTGAGCACCATTATTATTGTCTCAGTATGCCTGCATCATGCCCCTTTCCTACCCCATCCCTGCCCAACTCTCACATTCTCTTTTCCAAGTGACACGAACCATGGGAGGGGGCTTGCATAGCATAGACACTTTACAAAATGTGACTTCACAGTCACTGGCCCTTATTCAATGGAATGGACAATGTTATTGTCCTTGATATTGATAATATCTTCACATTTCTGGAGGGGCTTCTTAGATCTTAGAAGACTTCCTTATCAGTTATTGAGAAATGCCATGGGATTTCAGAGATGTCACCAACATCATAATCTTTTAAAATATATATATTTCTATTGATTTCAGAGAGGGAGAGAGAAAAACATCAATGATGTGAAAGAATCATTGATTGGCTGCCTTCTGCACTCCCCCTATTGGGGATTCAAGCCCACAACCCAGGCATGTGCCCTAACTGGGAATCAAACCATGACCTCCTGGTTCATAGGTTGACATTCAATTAGGAGTCACACCAACAGGGCAACCAACATTATAATCTTAAAGGAGGAGGTACAGAAAACTGACTGACATGCCCAAAGACATCTTGTGACCACCTTCCTGCAGGATCCTCTGTGGGGTCACCTAGATTCCATTTTAGGTGGTTCAATACGATCAGCAGACCACACCTCACGCAGCTTCTAGAGGGATTATTGGGTTGCTCAGTTGATCCCAATCTGAAGATTCCTTTAGGTGAGTCACAGCAACCAGGATTTCCTCTTAGGAATTCCTCCTCCCACATAAATCCAAGTTTGGGCAGTTAATTAGACTATATCTGTGGTTCTTTGAAAACCTTCTCAACAATTATGAACAATAATCATCAAGAGAACTTTAGGTATTTTGTGGCTGTTGCAGGTGATCCTTGAGCTCTTGGGGCACAAGAAGTAAAAACGAGACGCACTTTATAGTATTATTGTCCAGAGTACTGCGGATGGAATTGTACAAGGTCATTTGCCAGATTACTTTATAGAAACCCCATGGGCAATTATACACTTTCCTCAGTGAAACAGACCTGATGACTAATGCAGCTTGAAGTCTAGCGCTGACACACTGACGTGGAAGTGGGGCATGGAACATGCTCTTGATGCTTGAGCATTTCATCACTCTCACAGCACCAAACTATTTTAAATGCAGTAGGCCAGGATCAGGACAGGTGAGGGTGTTTGGTGACCACGCACAGGGCACAGGGCAGGCAGCAGGTGCTTAAATGTCACACCGAAGAAAAAAAACTGCATAATTGGAATCACTGGCATAACTAGCTCCCAGGTAAACAAAACATGAAGAAAAGGCAGAGTTCCAACCAGCATCAGCCTTGACTGCCAATAGCTGCTGCTGTGCCTTATGGAAGGGAAGGTGGGTCTTAGCACATTCAACTGCACAGCAAACACTGTTATGTTAGCAGAGTTATCTTCGGAAGAAGAAAATCTCATTTCTGTGTAAAATGTGAGTGCGTGTGTATGTACCTGCCATAGGGGTGGTATGTGAAGTGGGTGATGATCATGTGTGTCTCTTGCCTATAGATGTCCCTGCATAAGAAGCCCAAGTTAGGTAGAGGGAGAGAGGCTCTCTGCTGGGTGCAAGGGAGAGGGGTGTGCTGTCCTTGGTTGACCTCTCTACTTTGTTGGTCCTACACATTTCAGGCGAGCCCATGGGGACACTGCGCCCCCCTGTGGTTGTCATGGTTCCTCCTAACTTTCCCCAGTTCCCGGTTCCCTTCCTGAGTCTCCCATGTCTTCCTGAATCTACACAGTAGTTACATAGTGCAGGCCTGATACCACGTGGTGGCTCCTGTCTATTCTCGAGATCAGAGAATGAGGATGGGGAACAGGGGTTAGGACTTGAAAACTGTTCCACATAAATTTTATTGTGACTATTCCAACTAGCTTCTACTCTTATCCTTTGCGGGGGGGGTGGTGACTTCATAGAAGCTGAACCACCAACTCCTTACTTTGTGTCTCTGCTTCAGCCTTAGGACTCCTGTTTCTCTTTTTCTTTCAATCTCAAGGAATGTGTTTCCCTGACTCTAGGGACAAAAGCCCAAGATAGCTAAGAGATGGCTCATTGGAAAGGAGAATAAAACTGTGGAATACAGTGATGAGAGCATTGCAGTGTCCGCTTGAAAACTGTGGAACTCATGAAAAGATTTTAAAGGGTAATTCTCTGAAGTACACAGACAGTGAAACTGTAGCAGGAGGGATAAATAATAAGTTTTGGAGCACTACTTGCCGACCACCTGCAGGCTGGTGGTATTTCTCTATCAAAGGCCTCAGCTCTTAATGGATGGCGCTTGAGTTTCTGGTAACTGCTCCTTCTTTTCAGCCAAGGTAACAGAATTGCTATCACTCAGCCCTACGGTGGTCCATCATCACTTGTTGTTCTGTCCTAATCCTGGCCACACCTTCTACACTCTCTCTTTATTAAACTTGCCTCAATTATCCAATGTGCTCTCTGCTTTCTCCTGAGACCCTAACACGTAAGACAGGAGTAACAGGTAAGGTAAAAATGAGGAAGGAAAGGTAAGAAGAAGATAATCTATATATTGAGGTTTTCTTAGCACCACAGAAACATGGGTTTGAAGCCTAGTTAGTTAGGTGATCAAGTTATTTAAGTTCAGGGTGTGCTTCCCAGGACTTCCTATGGGGATAATATCTACCTGGCAGGGTTGGGAATGTGAGATAATATATGTAGAAGCTACAGCAGAGAGCCTGGCACATAGCGGATGCTCCATGTGGAAACTCTATCATCATGACAACATACAAGGCCCTGTTCTGTGTTACGTGTGAGTGCATTTAGCACCAAAGGGAAGCAGAATAGGATGGGCGTCAGGGAAATTACTTCCTCATCATTTTTATTTAGTTTTGCCTTTAGCTTGGCTTCTCACTGATCCCTGGGTTCATGAGCTAGGCTAGTGAGGAGGTTTCTATTCTGAATTTGTGGGAAGGGGAATGGGAAGGACAGAAGACAGGAATGAAATGAGATGAGAATGGAACTGAGGAGACCTTGCCTATGTTAAGACCACTTGAGCTTCTACATTGAAAGTATTTGAAGGCGAAAACTGGTGAGGGTGCCTGAGCTCACAGGGCACACCTCCTCTTTTCTTGTCTCTCCACCAAGTCTGAGACATTCCTCCACTTTGTGGATCATAGCCGTCCTGCTCCTCCTCAATTCCAGATAACCAGTTGTTTTATTTGTGCAGTTTTTAAGAGGAGCAGCATATTGTAGGGGTTACTTGCCTGAAAGACAAATGGTCCAGTAGAGTGGGGTCAGATGTATAGTGGCAGGTAGGATAGGCAGTTGCGGCAGAACTAAGTAATCACCCTTGGCATTTATCCAGCTCCTCCCTTTCCAAAACACTTCTTCTTCTTTTTTTATTATTAAATTACAGAATAATATATTCGATACAATATATGTACACATAGTGATTAGGCATTTATATAACTTATAAAGTGATCCCCCATAAGTCTAGTACCCACCTGACACCATATATAGTTGTTATATCATTGATATTCCCTATGCTGTACTTCACATCCCCAAACATTTTAATCCCACAGCACAAGGCAGCTAGATGGAGACCGAAGCTCAAAGACAGCAAATGTATCCCCAAGGCCACACAGGACTCAGTGTGAAAAACAGAAACCAGGTAGAAGTAGGCTCCATTGAGCCTGATCTGAAGTATCTGTTGAATGCGTAGGTGGTTGATAATCTATTATCAGGGAGTGGGGTAGGTGTGGTTAGTGTAGGAAAAAAATGTAGATGCCCAATGTTTATTTTTAAACCTCTTCTCTAAATGCTGGGAACTCTGGCTCAGTATTTCAACACCTGTGGGTAAGGTGGGAGCGGGCTGTTGGAATTTCAGCAGTGCTCCCATGTCTGGGGGACATGGCTGCAAGTGACACAATGGCTAGGGGCTCTGATTCCAGAAGAAAAGACTGCATCCAACACTCACCCTCCCCACTTCCTACACCACTAGGCAGCAGTTGGGTAACCGGGAGAAAGGAACTATAGCATGCTTGAAGGGGGAGGGTAAAATGGACATTTATTACAGACAGTAGCAAAAATGGAACAAGAGTCAAATCTGCAGTGATGGTCTTTATATCAATTTTCCAAAGTATAGGCACCCAACCTAAAATAAACGCCCCTTTCTCAGTCCTGGATGAGCAATGGGATCTCACATAGGAGAGGCTGGGATCCAGTTCATGGGGATGATGCCCAGTGAATGCCACTTAGTCTCAGTGGAGAAATGTCTGAGGACCAAAGCCTTTCGGGAGGTATCTCCTGGGTCCATCAAAAAGTCAGGAATCTCTCAGGCCCACAAGGCAATTAAGGCCATGAAGGCAAAACCAACGGTTACACAGGCCCACTTGAGCAGAGGAGCCTCAGGAGCAGCTAGCTCCCTGGGCAGAATTTCTAGGAAGGTGACATATAGGAAGGTACCAGCTGCAAAACCCTCTAACACAGCCTGGGCTAAGCCATGCCCCCCTTCTGAGTCCCCTCTAGGCACAGCCAGCCCCAAGGCTATGCCCAGGGGGGACATGAGAGCAAATGACAGTATGCAGAGCATGGCCCATCGTGGTGCAGTGCCTATCTGCACCAGCCTCAGTCCTACACTAAACACCACGGGCCCCTTGTGAGCCAGGACAGCAAGACAGAGCTGCACGGTAGTTGCTACGGTTGTCTGAAGCCCCACAGCCAGACCTTCAAACACTGAGTGAAAGGAGAGTGAGAGCAAGAGAATGAGGGCTCGAAAGGGCTTCCGTGAGGGTGAGGGTTCGTGGCTGTGGAATCCATGGATGTGAGTCTCACTCACTTCCTCCATCTGCACTTTTGGTTTTCCAATGGTTTCAGGACAGCACTGCAATGCCAGCGACTCCAAAGAGAAGACAAAGAAGAAGCCCAGGGAGATGATGAGCCCTCCATAGGCATATTCCTTCTGGGAACAGAGAGAGGGGCTGTGGGACGGGAAAGGAAGGAAGTACACTGGATGGAGGTGTGGAGGTGGGATGGGAGACTGGAGAGAATGGGAAATGTGGGACTAGAACTTTAAAAAGGGTAGGTGGCCTGACTGGTGTAGCTCATTGGTTGAGCGTCAACCCATGAACCACGGTTGAATTCCTAATGAGGGCACATGCCTAGTTTGCGAGCGCAGTCCCCAGTAGAGGGCATACCGGAGGTAGATGATCAATGATTCTCTCTCATCATTGATTGTTTTTACCTCTCTCTCCCTCTCCCTTTCTCTTTCTCAAATCAATAAAAATAAATTTAAAAAAGGGGGGGGGTAAGAGAATGAAGCCTGGAGGAGATATGGACATGCAACAAGAATACCAGAGGGACCAAGGTTGCAGTGTCAGTAGGGTTGAAATGTGGGAAAACGATGGGGAGCATGTCTAAGGGTCTAGGGCAGTAGTCGGCAAACTGCGGCTCGTGAGCCACATGCGGTTCTTTGGCCCTTCCCGTGTGGCTCTTCCACAAAATACCACATGCGGGAACGCATGTACAGTGCCATTGAAACTTCGTGGCC